AAAATGTGGTGTTGTGATCACACATATAGTGTCAGAGAGATCCTCTGAGCAACTGGTCACACATTTGTTTCTCTTTATTAGTGTAGCCCCAGAGAAAGATGGAATATTTTAGGTAAAGCATTGATTAAACATTAATAGACAAAATGGAAACATAACATTTAATATAAAGCCTACATTGCTTGTGTCCAAACTATCTCAAAGACCATATGTCCCTTGATGAGCTTGCCCAGGTGTTAAGATCATCAAGGAAGGCCTTTCTCTTTGTCCTACCACCCTCACAGGTGCACTTGGTGGGGACAAGGGGGAAAGGCCTTCTTTGTTGCTCCCAGACTCTGGAACTCCCTCCCACAGGAGGCCAGGCTGGCCCCATCTTTGCTGTCCTTCCGCAAGCAGGCAATAACCTTTCTCTTCAGGCAAACTTTCCCTTAGTGAATGAATGTCTAGGAGAGGTTTTAAGATGGGTGTGGGTGGGTGATATTTTGTTGCTTCTAAATCTGTTTTAGTAATGCTTTTACCTAACATTTTAATATAATGTTGTTAATTCTTTTTTTAAAAAAATATGTAAATAATTTACTGTTTTTAGCTTTTAATACTGTGTTTTTAATTATGTAAGCCACCTTGGGTCCTTTTTTTTTTAGAAAGGTGGGGTAAAATATTTAAAATACATAAAGCAGGGGTGGAGAAGTTCTGGTCCTAAGAGATTTCAAACTATAATTCTCTCAACCTCTCATCATTAACCATAGTAGAAGGGGCTGATGGGTACTCTAGGCAAAAATCTCTAGATCAGGGGTTCCTAACTTTGGGTAACGCAGATGTTCTTAGACTGCAACTCCCCAGAAACCGTGGCCAGCACAGCTGGTGCTGAAGGCTTGTGGGAGCTTCAGTCCAAGAATACTCGGGTTACTCAAGGTTGAAAACTGTTGCTTTAGATGACCAAAGTTCCCCAGCCCTTAGATTTAAAAAAAGTTAAGCATATGAATAGGTATCTTTTACTGATACTTTATTACATGCTTTATTTGTTTTACTGGATTTGTTTGATACAAACTTCACAATCTGAAGCTGCCAGAGGTGTGTGAGAATTTTTGTATTTGTTTTTGTTTATAAGAATGTACAAGTATTTGCAAATTTCTTCATAAGCATTTGAGATTAAAAACATTTAAGAGCAAGAGGGAGCAAAACAAAGATAATAGAAAGAGAAAGTGAAATGGGGCATCTGCAGGGCCTTTAATGACTAGCTTGTTTATTCAGTGGTGGACTCCTGCATCTGCAGGGGACTACCCTAGATTATTGTTGTGTATCTTCCATCTCTATGACTCTCTGTTCCTGTGTATCCTGCCCAATTGCAAAACATCATATTCTTTTAAAGAGTCAGGCATGTATTGTTTAGGTTAATGCTAACCACTTGTTAATTTTTTGTGTTACAGTTTACTGGCTGGCTAAATTTATACCTAACAGGATCATTTGCAGCCAATGCTGAGTGACAGAATAGATGAGAGTATTTGTTTTGGTAGCAATGGTACTCCCAAAGGTGAGTACACCTTTGTCACACCTGTTGCTTTGTACCTGTGTGCTTCTAGCACAACTTTGACTGTGCAGACTGCATGGACTACTCTGGTCTCCCAGTAATATCTTCCTAGCAGTTTTGAAGCTAAACCATACAGGATCCATGCTGAATAAAGCCAGTTGGATGTAACAAGGCTTGACTGCTGTCTGTACCCCACAACACAGAGCTGTTGTTTTCAAGACTAGCCATGCTGGAGTAAACCAAAATAAAAATCCACATAGATCACTGCAAGGTTTTCAGCTGTAGTCAGTCTGATACTCTGGAGATTCAGTAGATAATGTAACATAACATTTTTTTTCTAATATATTCTCAGTGTTTTCTAATATCTCCCAACTGATAAGATAAATGTCTGGTTTGTAAAAGGTATGTATATCTTGTTTAAAAAACTGTACTTGGACAATTCCTATTTTTGGGGAGGGATCAACCAAAATGTCACAAAATTGGAATTAGCAATAGCAATAAGCAATTTTCTAACATTTTAGTTCATCCAGATACAGGTACAGTGGTGCCCTGCATAGCGACGTTAATCCGTTCCAGATTAATCGTCGCTATGAGGAAACATCGCTAAACGGAACGGAAAAAGCCATAGGAACGCATTAAACTTCATTTAATGTGTTCCTATGAGGCCCAAACTCACCGTTCAGCGAAGTTCCTCCATAGCGCCGCCATTTTCGTGCTCTCGGTAAGCGAGGGCAGGGTGTGAAAACACTTGTGGCGGCCATTTTGGGTACCTGGCGGCCATTTTGGAACCGCTGATCAGCTGTTCAAAAAACATCACAGTGCGAAGATCGGTAAGCGAAACGCTTACCGATCATCGCAATGCGATGTTTTACCCATTAAAACATCACAATGCGATCACATTAGCGATCTATTTTTTTAGATCGCTAATGTGATTCATCGTTAAACGGTGTGCTCGTTATGCGAGGCACCACTGTATTACCTATGTATGAATTTTCCAGGTTTTTTTTTTTCCTTATGGACCAACACTGTTATCTTTTGTTTCAAAAATTATTATTGATGATAAAAATGTCCACTGCAGGAGAACTGAACATTGGATCTCTTTTTAGTGTTGCGGAAAATACTACTTGATATGTTTTGCAATTTGAAAAAGAGGGAGAGACCGAGAGAAAGAGAGAGAGCCTCATAGTGGAAATGTGCAGGTATGCACTTTTGTTGGCTCAGTTTTTCCAGTACTCAGTAGCTCAGCAAATTCTCTCTGGTCTGAAACAAAGCGAATGACTCACTGCAATGGGAGGTATAATCCATTTCAGAAAATCCCTTTAGCATGAAATGCCAACACACTCAGCAAAGGCCCCATAGAATTTTTCATAAAATTGAGAGCTGCTAACACCTAATTGAGAGGTCAACTGAGGTCAGGGATTTTTCTCTGTATTCAATTCCATGGTATGGGATCAGGCTTTAATCCCAGCCCATGTGTCCTGTTCCCCTATAGACATCATCCTTTACAGTTTCAATTGTGTGTTATTTCGGAGAGGCAAATCACTTGCTGCCTTACTCTGCTCAGTGCAGTTCCTGTGCTTTGTTTAAATGATTATCCTGATTTAGCATGGCTGTGAAGTTAATAATACTGTATAATGTCATTAAAATGTTTTAGGAACTTTTACTAATAAAAGGGGAGGTGGAGCTCACATTTTTTCTATAAATAATAAATTTGTTCTTTTCAGATATTTGCTTAAGTGAAGGTTAGAACTTCAAAAAGATTGCTGAATCTGGAAAATAAGTCATATGAATTGGTTCATGGGTCCATTTACACCAACATTTTGCTTCTAATAGGTATCTCCAGAGACTTGGAAGCAGAGAAGATGACATTTTTAATTTTTGTAAATAAATAAAATTTTTTTTTTGCCATAATAATGAATACAAATGTTGGGACTGGTTTGTGAGGAGGTTAGAAACAGGAATAAAAAGATATGAGATACAAGGCAGTTCAAGTGACTTAAATCCCTCCTTGGAAAGGGAAATAATTATTATGGTCAAGAAAGGAGAAAACTATGCTATATAAATGTCAATGTATAACTCAAAGACGTTCACAAGAAGTATATTCTTTACACTGATTCACTCATTAAGAACAATTTGTGGCTTAAAAGATTAGAGTATGGGATTTTTGTTTTATTGTGTCTTTTGTATGTTCCTTCTTCATTTTTAATAATGTATAATGCTTTTATATGCCTTTGACTGTGTTATTTTTGTAATGCAAAATTGTTTGGTGAAGATCACAAATAAAGATTGAACTGAAGAAAAAAAAAATGATGAAGCATCTAGAGCCAAAGCTCTTCACCCATTCAAATAATACAATTTCAAGGAATTACGTACAAATTTTATATTTAAATATCTGAAAGTTATTTGCATTTACAATCACTAAAGGGAAACATTTAGATATGAATTGCCAATGTAGATAAAAACATCCTGTTGTATTAGATAAGAAATACTTTTATCCTGTCCAAAACATAAATAGCTTACCACTGGTTGAGTAAATGACTTCCTCTGGTTGTAACCCA